TGCACCATTACAAACTTTACCTGCTCATAAGTTGCTTGTGAAATGCAGGTTGCAGTTTTGCTATCTATATTTGTAAATAACCTTATAGACTCTATCGATCTACCCAGGTCTCCATTCAAAGTTCCATGGTAAGTTGGCGGACTTCCCTGGTTAGAGATGTTAGTAGCCAGATTCGATATCCTTGCCGTGATCGCAGCGCTTATGCTGGAGCGCAGCTCTGATTATCTGCCTTATCGGGGTCCTATCTCCTCCTCCACTTCCTATTTGAGTTGTTCTTTTTCTGTGTCAGACCTGCTATGTCACTTTTTAGGTTACTGATACTACAGAGGTAGAAATGCTCCGAAATTCAAATGCAGCCCTACATATTCGAGTATCTGGACTTGAGGTTGAGTTAGCCAAGAAAGACCGAGAACTGACTGAGCTCATCAAGAAACTGCATGAAGGAAAACCTGCGTCAGTTTGTCGTTTTATTTAACTTCCTGATTATTCCACTTGATTCTCGGTATAAATCATGTTATTCTAGCGGTAGTGCAAACATTCCCCCTCAATTAGTTGTGCAGCAAAGAGGAGGACGCATGTTCATGAATCCAGAACGGAAAGAAGCTCTTGCGACTGGTGGGGCAAATGCTGGTGAGATCATTATTTTAGTATTTTCTGTAAAAATGCGTGACTGGGTGAATGTTAGGCCACGTTCGTACTTTGCGCTTCGTTTCCTCCTATTCTCCTCTGATTCTACGATTTTCTGAGAAACCTCACGGCGACAACATGTTCCATCGATTGTCCCAGTACCAGGAAGTTCCGCAGAATTTTCATTGATATTAACTATTTCATGTTTTCCAGATGCCCGAGCTAATGGATTTCAATGGAGAGTTCTGGGCAGTGGGAGTAGCATGTTCCCAGGCTCGGAATATTTTCAGCCCGTTTGGTATTCGTATCCTTACCATTGTATGTTGCATTTCTTGGTATTCGTATCCTTACCATTGTATGTTGCATTTCATTACCTACTTTCTAACTGTTGCGTCATTGAACATTTCATCTTCTAAGAGCCGACAAGAGTTCAAGCTGCGGGAATGCTATCCACTGCACAGCGGACGATCTCGTGTCGGTTGTTTTCTCACCGTTTGAATCGTCACTTCTTTTATCAGGTGATTTATGGGTTCATTTTTTTATTTTTCGAGACGGGCATGGTGGACCAGGAAAATATAGTTTACCACACGCGCGTTCCGGAGGTCAAATCTTGGATCGGCTCCCGCCCAGGCCAACCAAGCCTTCTATACCTCCGGGGACGGTAAATTGGTACCAGATTCGTCTGGGAGGATAAGAACACTGACTTGTACATCGGCTGGCCCCGCAAGTCATTGTATAGGCCACATCGCATTCAATAAGCCACTACGATTCTGAATAGGAAGTAGAATGCGTGCCGCATCCCAAAAAGGATTGATCAATGGCTAACTCTTAATCCTTTATCTTCTTTTTCACTGGATTAGTCAGTTCCGAGTACCACAGGAGCTTTATTCTCGACCATTGACAAGGGCGGAATAGTCAGCAATGGATGTGGCCCTTCTTCTAAGACAGTAAAGTGGCGCCCAATAAGAGGTTCCAGTGACTGGCTGTCTTCATCCATAGGGTGAGCGTGAATAACGTTGTTTTTTGCTAGGGTAATTTTTCTCTCTTGCTTCCACCGTAATGAATATTTTTTAGTCATATTTTTCTAATAACCTCTCCTTTTTCTGCAAATTTCTGTCCTATAGTCATATACGTAAAATTTTGAGGAGGAGAAGATAAGCGAGCAGTTGTCTCTGTGGACGGAGCGGTTCGTCGGCAATGGAGAATGCCCAACGAGAAACCAGTGTGGACAGGTTGTTGGACCGCTGCCAACAAGGTAGTGCCCTCTGTGATGCAGGTTTGCTTGCTCTCCTATAACTGGTCCATTTGCGAATTCAGGTAACCCTGGGCCTTGGAGATGGACGGGTTCTTGAGTATGCTGTGGATTCGGATTCTACGGAACCATTGCGGGACTACACTCAAGGAGTTGGCCATCTTCCCATAATTTTCACAGGGTGGGTGGCATTGCTTTCATTGATTTCTGGTGCTAAAACCGGTCACGTAATATTTACCAGTTTTTCTTTTTCTTCCAGATTTGATCCTGCTTCATCAACCTTGCTCGTGGCTTCATTCAAAAAACTCGTAGC